GTTTCCCTTCGTTTGAAAGGCCGGGTATACAAGGCCACAGCGAGGGCCGTTCTGCTGTATGGTAGTGAAACTTGGCCCCTTCGGTCTGAAGAGCTGAGGCGCCTTCAAGTCTTTGATCATCGTTGTCTGCGAAGCATTGCTGGTGTCGGATGGCACCAGCGTGTCCGCAACGATGATGTGCGTAGGCGGGTACTAGGTAATGATAATCATGCTAGCCCCCTAGAACAACAGATAGCACTGAATAAGTTGCGTTGGCTCGGGCACGTGCTACGTATGCCTGGTCACCGCTTACCTAGGAGAGCCTTGTTTAGTCTGCCAGGTGTAGGGTGGCGCAAGGCTCGAGGTGGACAGAAGTTGACTTGGCAACGGGAAATGAACACACTGACGACCAAACTTGGTGCCGTTGGTTCGTCTCGCCTTCTGGGCTGGAGTCCACGTGATTCGCCTTGTGCTTGGCTCGAGACTTTACAGGACATGGCTCGCAGTCGACACCAGTGGCGCGTCTGCTGCCGTCTCCTTATTGGATTGCCTGTTTAAAGTGTGTTTGGTGCTGAGTTATCTGCGGGGTAATGGCTGATTATGACGCGTGGCAGTGAAAGCCGCAAGGAAGCTGTCTCGCCGATGCCGCCTTATCTTTGCACGATAGCCAGCTGTTTGTGACGGTATGTTGTCTACACAAGGTGTAGGTACCTTGACCCTGAATGTTTGCTTAGGGCATTAAGGTTTTCAGGTAAGTCCCCCTTCTCTCCCTCTTATTCTTTATTTCATAGGTCCTCATGGTTGTATGGCAGCGAAGCATCAGTTCAAATGGCTGATGTACTGCTGTTGATGATGATGACTCTGTCATGCGAGTTAAGTAAGCGCTCACTGGATGCATTTGAAGCTCACTGGTCTCATATTTACCAGTCCTTACTAACAGCAGGCAAATCCTCATGTGGTAAGTCTAATCGCCAACATGGACATTAGGTCTCTTCGCAGTCTCTGGAACTTATCGATGCTAGCCGTCATATTCCGGATGGAAGCGGACACAATGAAACCCGCAAAGAGCTCCGGGCAAAACTCCGTGCTAGCCTGAAGAGAGACCGCGAATCCTGGTGGTCTCTTCGTGCGTCAGAGATGAAAATGATCGCTGCCATCGGGAACCGGATGATACCGGAAACGGGCAGCAGGAGACCTGGTGTTAGTGAAACTATACGAGACGAGAATGGACAACCTATCTACAACCTGTCAAAACGCTTGGAGCGTTGGGATGAGCACTTTGAAAGGTAATTTAATCGATCGGAATTGTTAGATTTCTCGCCGGCCACTGACCGCCTCGCTCCCTGGACTGTCCCTTTGGATCCACCCTCTCCCTCAAAAGTCGAACGTGGGATCGCACTGTTGAAGTTAATTAAAGCCGCGGGACCACATGATCTACCCCCATCTCCCTTCAAATTCGGGGGACCTGCTTCTGTGGATGATTTATACGAGTTGCTAGTCAAACTGTAGGGGCAGGAAACTGGAGCCGTTCCGTCATAGTCCCAATTTTCAAGGGAGGCTCACGATCGGAATGCGGCAGCCATAGAGGAATCAGTCTGATCTCCATCGCCTCCAAATTGCTTGCCTCTGTCATCCTTCACAGACTGACTGGCACTTGTGAAAGCCATATTCGTGAAAAGCAAGCCGGCTTTCATCGAGGTCGTGGCTTCATTGACCACATCTTCACTTTGCGTCAGTTGTTGGAGCACCGTCACATATATTGACGGCCTACCGTTGTCGCGTTCCTCGATATCAAAGGTACATTCGTTTCGGTGGATGGACGTGCACTTTGATACTGTCTACTCAGTAAAGGTGTACCTGAGAAACGTAAATATTATCCGAGCATTATACGCGCGTAGCTCGGACAGAGTAAGGGCTTACGGCAAGCTGTCGTCGCACTTTAATATCTCTAGCGGCCTGAGACAAGGATGCCCGCTGTCACCTTTCCTCTTCAACTTCGCTATTGACGAAGTCATGGAAATCGCGTTCACAGGACACGACTTAGAATGTGTGGATCTGCTCCCAGGAGAACGACTTCTTGACTTGGAGTATGCTGACGATATTGCCCTAATCTGTGACAACTCCCAGACGTGCCAAACTTCATTGGACAGATTAGCACAGGCTGTCCGCCACTTCGGGCTTTGCTTCCTACCATCGAAGTGCGAAGCGTTCCTCCAAGATTTGCCTGGACTACCTCCTTCGCTGACCCTTGGTGGGGATCAGCTAGAAGTCGTTCAAAAATTCAACTACCTGGGAAGTTGTAACAGCGCCCTTGGGATTGAGGATGAGATCACGAACCGTATAGCAAAAGCTCGAGGTGCTTTTGCTAACCTTCGCTACTTATGGCGCCGGCGTGACATCACTATCGCCCTGAAGGGTAGAGTGTACAGTGCCGCGGTACGTTCGACCTTACTGTACGGTTGTGAAACCTAATAAATAATAATAATGTGTCAGCTGTGCGCCGTAACGGCTCTTCGCTGCCGCGCAACCACCACCAGTCGCGCGCGGGCTGAGTATACCGCGAGGACGCTCACGCCTACGCGGATTCGAACCGGTGACCTTATGGTTGCAAAGCAAACGTGCAGACCACTCGGCCACCGGCCGAGGTTGTGAAACCTGGCCCCTTAGATCAGCGGACATAAGAAGGCTAGTTACCTTCGACCACCGGTGCCTTCGCAATTTAGCTCACATCTGGTGGGAACACCGCTTGAGCAACGATCGTGTTCGACGCCTTGTTTACGGCACAGGAAAAGGAAATGAACCGCTCCGCACCGCACCAGGCTCCGTTGACTCGGCCACGTGTTACGCATGCCAGCCCACCGACTCCCGCGACGTGCGTTGTTTGCGCGCCGGGGGTGTGGATGGAAGAAGAGGAGGGGTGGCCAAACGATGACTTGGTCGAGAGGTATGGTGGCCCTCACTTCGGTGTTGGCCTCGGTTGGAGCGTCTCGGCTTCCTGGTTGGGGTCCGAAAGACGATGAACACGTTTGGCTGGATACACTTGTTGATATGGCTAGGAGTCGACCACCGTGGCGTTCGTGCTGAGTTTCTTTGTCCCACCCCATCCTTCTTAGCCTCCCCCTCCAACCACGATCTCGTTATTTTGTATAGTGAATTTTTTTCTGCTGCACAGTAGCCGGCAGGTAGCTTACCGGAATGATGCCCATCCGTTACCGGTAGTTCAGCTGGCTTGCACCTGTAGCATTTTATTCCCTTCTTTTCTTTTGGGTATTGCGGCACAGTAGCTGAGGTGTTTCCCACCTCTAGCTAAGGTGTATAATGTGTGTATGTGACAACTAAGTTTCCCCCATCTTTGAATAAGGCTGGAGGAACTTTCAAGGCCAGTAAGTTTGTGGCTTTTCAGAGTCTGGATTTCTCTCCGTATTTTTGCTTCAGTGGGAGCGTCTATGCAGACTGACCAAGGATCACATGATGGCAGTGGATGTGTAACCGTAGGTTGTGTTGGGCAATTAAACTGTAGAGCAAAGTGCCCTGCTCAGCGATCCAAGCGTCTGCGTAGGTTGGTGATCTTTGTACCGTCTGACACAGATGGTCTGACTGATGGTCCGAACTTTGCGTCCGGTGTATCTGATGAGATAAAACAACCTGCGGTTATTACCAACAAAGGCAGCAATTTCCATTTCCTTGGCCTGTTTAGACCACGATGATTCACGGTCACGGCGAAAACTCAATTTTTGTCTGTAAATAGAACGGCGGAGTTCGGTGTGCTCTACCCTGACGGGTATAGCCCGACGATAGTCGAGAAGTTTCGCGGAGGTGGCAGAGACCCAACTTTTAGTTGTGTAACAAACATGACCACAACTGGATAAACCCGCTGAAAACATAAGCTGTTGCAATCGCGACCATTACTGATCAACGTCCTGAGGAGGCGGAGAAGTGAGGCTCTCACGAAGCTGCTTTTGATATTCCAATTGACCGTCGGGGTCTTCCAGTTTGCCAGAGTTAATTCAGGTTTGTTTAGTCCTATGCGAACCACCGAAACGCATGCAAACCGACGCACGCACTAGCGCATGATCAGTTTCCACGCATGCTGACTAATAGGATCTGCAGTCCCGAGTATTTCAGACAAACAAGACGTCAATTGCAAGAGTTTCTAGAGTGCGCGTGAGACCAGTTTGCTGTCCAATCTGTTTTAAGGTGCACACATTGAACGCCGCCAAGTTGAACTGTGTTTTCGGTTACAGAAGCGGAGAGGGTAGAATCCGGGACTGTTCCATCCCGGTTTGGCGCTGTGTGATTATGTTTGAGGATGGAGCGGCAACAGTGATATCGGAGGAAGTAATGCTGCTCATCATTGCTTAATCAGACAAAAACGGGGTAGAATTATGCAGGGGAAGAATAGATAAGCTAGTGGCGTGTGATTTAAGAGTGTTTGCAATAGTATCACGAGAGCAAATCACCAGCATAGCGAAGAGTAGAGTTCAGTTCCATGGCTCATCAATAGGCGCGATACTACCCGGTTGCCTAGGCCGAAGTAGGAGCTGACCAACTGCTGTTTGCCGAATTTTGTTTTGGGCTTATATCATGGTCATAGCTATTTTTGCTGCGTTTCTAGATCTATAAGTGACAACAACGCTGGCACCATTTTATTTTACCTTCCTGACTTTATTGTACTCCATTTTGTGAATTTATTGTCTTTCCTCATTTCATTATCTTCTTTTGACCACCCGGGATGATTCTTGTGGATTTTCAAACCTGTTTGTAAAATCGTTTTCCGATAAACATGGCCACTCGACGCTTACAGAACATTCGGTTGCTATTCACTGCTTGTGTACTATCCCAGTTTCAGGTGTCTGGAGCATGATATCGCTCATATACTAGCCAATTTTTTTGTCCCCGCAAATGTTAATTTCCACATACTTAGCTTAGCTGCGAGGGAATGCGAACATCCCTAATGTGTTGATTGCGCAGCTCTTTTGGTCCCCCCTATATTCCAATTCTAACACTTGTTTCCTGTTTCAGGTCCAACCCACTGCATGGGTTCTTCGCGGTCTCACAAAAAGACACATTTACAGCGTCACTCGTCGCCCTCTGGCGACTCCGTCAAAGATACTCGCCATCGGCACCGACATTCACGCGATTGTTCTTTTCCGGATACAGATGTTAAACTGTCAGGTCACAAATCAAAAGACTCCGGGAATGTCAACAATCGAGTTGCTTTGCGTAAAATTGTGAAACGTGTTTATCATATGGTAGATGAAGATAGACAACGCAGTTCAACCGCTCAAAAGCACGAAAATGAGAAGGTACAATCACTTGTTCCCGATTGTGGATGTCCAAACAATTGTGGACCTGAGTTGCAGAAACTTCGAGAGTACATCGCAAACCTACATCCTTCACTTGTGAATTCTTCGGTCAACATGTACGAATTAGATCAGCTTGTGGACACTCCTGAGCGCTTACTTTCTGAGGCATGGATCACTACAGGCGCCTCAAAGCTTCGTGAGTTAATGCCGGAAGATCTACTGGCCATTTGTTCCCGACGGGAGAAGCGCGGTTCAAAGCATCCGTCAGGTTCCTACTACGCGAACACACTGTCGGTCGCAAACTCCCTCCCTCCGTTTACTTCTTTCTGCGAATCTCAGTCTCAGCCGGATTGTGGTATTACTGAATTCTGGCGAAGATGTTTGTTCGAACTATTCGAATTATCGCCGAGCGAAATTAAACTGGTACTTTCAGGTGTCGGTGATCTGAGTTCAATCAACCCCCCACACTATGAACTGAAAAATGAGCGTCAACTCAACCTTGGGAATCAATCGACGGAGGCCCCATGCGAATCGTCCTTTATCTCATATTCTGTAAGTGTGTTGTGCCTTCCTATTTGACATTCGCTGGTATTGGGTAGCATTTTATTTGACATTATTCCTCATGACTTGCAACTGGTTCCGGGTTCATCACATGCGGTCTGTTATGACGGTGGTAAACGAATGGCTAATGGGATTATTGTTAGTTTGTCACTCGGAATTGTGTCACTATCTCACCTTAGATAATTTTATATCCAGTTTAATTCTATTTACCAACTTCTACTTCCATATCTAGGCGCCGAGGATACACTTGCCTTACTATCACTCGCCAACATCTTAGTTGTAATAATCGTAGTAGTAATACTCTGTGGGGAGTGAATAGAAACTCAATTCGCCAGATGAAATGCTGATGGGTCCGAAGCGCAGGAACGAATGCAAGAGTGCCACCAACTCAGTGACATCACCAAATCTGATAATGTACCCAACCGCTGATATGGCAAGTCCTGATGACCCCATCTGAGTAGGCAACGAACGCCATCCCCATATAGCTTTTCGATGGATTTCTTCATGGGCTTATGCCATGTCATTGACTGGCCGCTGTGAGTTTTCATTTACCTTGGCGCAGTAGTGACAAAGACACATCGAGACATTTGGTTTGCAGACGCGTGAAGCACATGGCTGAGCATCATCATTCATCATTATACACCTTAGCTAAAGGCGAAAAACACCTCAGCTCCTGTGCTGCAGACATGACTGAGCCACTGCTTGTGATTTGTGTGGAGCACTTACTGCAGTTGGGCATCGGAGGGTTTGTTGCCGAACACCAGACGAAGAACACTATTCGCCCACTAGACATTAGGGAATCTTTCTAAGCATTTATGTTCATTTACAATCAGCTTCTTGATATCCTCAGAACCCAGCGGCCAGGCGTCTGATTTATACAACAACCATGGCCGCACCTTAGCATTATAAACTTTTCTCTTGCTTTCATCTTGCCATCTCCACAAGTGGCCGTGGGCTTTAAAATCTTCACGACCTTTAGTAATGCATGCAGACATATCTTCGTTGATACAGCTGCTCAGACAAGTAGGCCGACCGATGACGTTGAGCGGCCGTTCGGTACTAATGAGAATCAATGGTAACTTAGCCCAGTTCTGTAGTAGTTCTCTGCAAGTGCCGAAATGAGCAACACTACACATCAGCTTGTTGCACAATGCTTTTGTAGTAGCTGGTTCCGACCCACAGAGAACCAAGGACTCAACATACCTTAAATTTGATATTCTGTCACCGAAAATTCGACTCCAAGTGCGAGGCCGGGAACATCCTTGCTTATATTGATCACGAAGTAGAGGGAACCTCCTACGAGAGTTTATCATAGAGCTGACACGGTCCATGGAGTTGTGGCTTAGAGGTTTCATAATAAAACCATATTCCATTGTACGCCATTACAGGTAAACGCCACCACAGATGAACATCAGTCATGTTGTTAGGTTGTTTGTAGTTGTGGTGAAATTTAATTAAAGCCCATCATTCATAATCATCTGCAGGGGCAGTGCATCCACAGTTTGAACCGAAGCTTTGCTCCTATTCACTCGAAATGAGCCTGAGAGTAAGCAGTGATAAGAGGCAAAGGGGCTGCTCTGCTTTAAGGCCCAAATACCCTAAGCAGACATTTAGGGTTAAAGTGCCCACGCTTTGTCAACAACAGTTAAAACAGCTGGCTGTCATGCGGGATAAGGCATCATCGTCGAAGCATTCCTTGTGGATTTCACTGCTTCGCGTCCTAAGTAGCATCACAACCTAGTTAACTCAGCATCAAACATAGTTCGAAGATTCAGTCTGACAAGAAGACAACATCGGATGCGACACTGATGCCAAGTGCGATGAAATTTCGAACCGGGCATAAATGGGCCTCGTAGACCCGATCCAGGAAAGTGAGACAAGCCAACAAGTTATGTTAGTTCTTAGTATTTTTGTTTCCGGTTCCCAAGTTACCTTTGTTTCCATCGAGCCTTTTGATACCCTACATCTGGCAACCATATTAGTGTACTTCACGGTAAGCAGTGACCAGACATGCGAAGTACGTACCCAGGTAGGCGCAACTTATTCAGTATTCTTTGCAACTCAGATGAACAAACATATATGGCGCTAACTTTTACTTATATCTGCACATCATCAATGCGGAGACGCTGACGATATGGGACACTAGCGATCATCCGTAAGCGGCTATATGCAGTAATCGAAGTCGCTCCTCTTCCTAAGATGAAAGAGAGCTAAACTTCACTTGCACAAGGACCTCCCCATCTGTGGCACTGTTGACACCACTGGCATCACAGATGCCGTAGATTTATGCATCGGTCCTAACCATCGCAATGCTTGTAACAGCTTCCTCAGTCCTGCACCTAGCATTGCCAATGCAGTCGGCTAGGTGAGTGAAGAGATCCACTATCTGCAGTTCCTCGTTATCAGGAGTAAAAGGGCCACAGATCCATTGATGGTCCTGCAACTGCGTATTGTACTTTGAAGTTTGAAAGCGCATACCGTATGACTGGGCCACTTCAGGGATTTTGTATGGGGCTAAGTGAGCCGCTTCGCGATCGACGAACAGCAAGGCAACATTGTATACTTAGAACAGACTAACCAGTTTATCACCAGGCAACCTTTTGGTGCCCATATGTGTTTCGACGAAAAATATCTATGAGGTCCACGACAATGTTGAGCAAAAGTGTGGAAATGGTACAACCCTGACGAATGCGACTTGCTGTCAGGAAGGCCTCCGACGAATCACCCTGAGATGACCTGCAGTACTGGAGCACAAGGCGCATGGAATCATCGCATATTTGATGGAAACGCCTGAGTGGCGGAGCGGAAATCGAGAAACATAGTTGCAGTCTGGCTGCGAAAAGTGTGTTGCTGCCCTTGCACTCTTTGGAATGTGGAGGTGTGCTTTACACATCCATCCTCGACGGAAATCGGCCTGATCTTGTATTGTAACGCTGCTTCTTTCCCTCTGCCACTGACAACTGTTGTACTGCTGCTTTGCTGTTCTGTGAGACTGCGACTGTCTGACTGCTCATTTATGCACCCATCCAACCGAAGGAATACAAAAGGCCAGAATTTGGTAGGCAGAGTCTATCTACAGGATAGGTTAACTCTATTTCCTGCTAAACGAAACATGCTAATTTAGGAGGTCAATGTCACTCACTCTTCTGCGTCTGGTTTTCAGCCAGTGTGAGTGAATTCCGTCCCACGGGTTTATCATATTGACGAAATAGTTCGACTCCTTTGAAGCGGACTGGTATTTGCTATCCGATCCATTTTACACACATGTTAGCGCATTGTACCAAGCTTTTAGCGTGGCACATTTTCGAAATCGCGTGCAGTGCTTTCAAGTTAGCGAGGCTAAGAACGCTGTTTTGGCGTCGTTGACACTCTCATTGGTCATGGGACGTTACCCAATGGGACACCGGTTGGAAGCCCACAGCATAAGCGACAGACAGTCCAATGAAAGTGATCGAGCACTACCTTCTGTTCTATTATGAGACCTATCTGAAGGAAATCTCGCTAACTTGAAAGCACTGCATGCGATTTCGAAAATGTGCCACGCTAAAAGCTTGGTACAATGCGCTACCATACGTTTAAAATGGTGTAGTTCCATCTAGGCTCAGAGAGCGAGCGAAGCAGTTGTCTGCGCATGCGCACACGTACAGGGGTCAGGCGACTGGTCTGTTGAGTACACAAGTCGTGACGCACACCACTAACAAAATAGGGGAAAGGCGATACGCCGTTTTCTGATTGATAGCGATTCCCACACACACTGCAAACTGTGTGTTTTGTTGGTTTGGACCTCGGATGGAGAGAAGTTACTTGACAAATGCAAAATAAGATACAGCTGCTAGGCACTGCGTTAGATGAGCACGAGTTTAGACTATCCCCGTAGCTTGAAACGAACTCTCTCGCCTGAAAGCAAAAGTCCAGTTACAACTTAAAGCATAAAATAGTAGCGCCCCTTAGTTTCAGTAGCAGCTCCGTCCAACTTGTCGAAGGGGATAAGTTGTTGAAGCGTTACGAATAGTCCGACGATTTAGGTCCACTGTGTAGAGCTGATAAACTCGGGTGGAATGGATGTAAGCTGGATGTTGATAAACAAGCTAAGTAATAACCTGCAAAAATTGTGTGCTTCAAAATGTTGCAACCGCACAGCATACAACTGCCACTACTTATCGACCGCGAGCCAAATTCGTCGTTGTCGTCTTCCTGAATAGGATGAGCAAGGACTGAACCCATCTTTTGAAATGAAGTTAATCCGACAGCCGTCTAGCCAGCGATATTTCTTAAATTTGACTTTCTGTCAGTTGTCACATCTCCAACGCGGCGCGTTTATGATTTCCTTACTTCATCTACATCACCGCTTTTCGTTACTCGATTTGATGTGATTTTCGTTCACTGCCCACATTACTTTTCGTTGCTTGGGTTGCGGTTGATCCGGCGAGCTATGCTGAAAATTTCATCATGCTTGCATCCACAGCTATGCTTTATTTCTTAGCATCTTACGTCTTATCACTCAGTGTTGTTTAGATGTTTCAGATATACTGCTTATCTTGCGTTGTTTGTTATACCTGACAACGAACTCCGTCTTTCGACTTCATCTATGGTTGTTTAATTACTGGTAGGTCAGGTTTGACCTTTCAGTTGTTCATTTGTTCACCGAGCCTGGCAATTAGATTGCGTACGTTTCACGAAGATCACGGGGAGAAATTGGGAGACATCTCCTTTAATTGCCACCCGCACGTTGATCACCGGTTGGCGATTCAATCAGCAAGATTGTACCGCATCGAGCATTCCACCTCACATTGTGTCGAGACGTATACAACCAAATTGCCAAGCTAGACGAGCATATGAACAACTGTCGTAATTCTGACGCTTCACTTTGTTTATCCCTGTACATCATAAACCATATATTGGACTGTTATGAGGGAATAACTACGAGTTTGCGGAAGATTCAGTGCTTTCTCTTTTACTTGGCTTTTTTCCTCGCATGATTCTGCTCGTTTTCTGTTTGTTTTTCTCACTGCACTAACAAACCCGATCATCACCGCATTGCTCATCACTACTGTAAGTTAGTACCTGCTTCTCATACTTGGTCCCACGGAGTTCGTATTACTCTCTGGCCGCTTAACACCTTCGTGTCGCCACGCAGTTTGCGGCCGTCCTCGCGCCCTGACACGCCAATAGGCATCACATCAGTGTGACTTTTATTTCTTATGATTACTGAAACATGCGCGCATCCCGTGAGATTGCATGGCGCTTCTATTGGGCGCAGCCTGATTGTCCAGGGTCAACCGGACACCACATCACACTAATTTCATTTCAGATAATGGCTACCGAGTACGGACCTAATGTACTTCTCACATTTGTTGAACTAGTGCTTGTATCTTTGCACTCTTCGCCCACCAAGGTCCCAAGTGTCCTGCGCTTCATCAACCCATTGCGATCCACGCATTTGACTCACATCCATTTAACTACTACGGTTTTACTTGCCTTCTCAGATCTTTCCTTTTCGAATCCGATCAGTGCTGTTTTCTTTTTCAATGTTCTCTTGATGTACTTTTATTTTGCATCCCACCTTATTTTCCCCACTGTTAAGAATACTTTTTATCCTAGAGATACGAGTCATGAAATATGGCTTTCGTCCTCTGATCAGTGCTGTTTAACTAAACATAACAGCTACTTATTCTCACTTTTCCGTATTCCAGAATGTGGTGCATCCACCTACCGAGTCACCGGAGTCAGTAAATTGCAGTTATGTCAACCAATCAGCGAAAACAGTCTCAACAGAGCCGCGTTCCGCTTCTGGTCATAGTGAGGAATGCAGCCCTCCGCAACAGGTGTGTACTATAATCACCTTGGTCTTTATTCTGCTAATTATTATCATACAAGATTTGGATGGCGGTGTTTCAAACAAAACGTTCCCTCATTGTTCTGTTCCCCAATTTTCCCTCCTTATACTTGTCGTGCGAGAATCAATACTGTCCATTCCACGAGATTGGACCTCCTACCTCCGGGACTCATTGCGCTACATTGTGTGGCACTTTTCAGACATCTTGTCTATGTTTCGGGGTTAGACTAGCTCAGTTCTGAGATTGTTTGGTCGATAGCCTTAAAACTTAGCCATGGGCGGCAAGAGGTGTATGGTTTTACGTTAACAGCTCGATTGGCGTCGAGCACGAGTTCCATGCATTGTCTCTGACTGTAGGAAGGCACCGCCTGGAGCTCAATGATTTGCTGTCGCCCACGTCAAGCTAATCAGCTTGGTGCAAACCCACCAACTCCCACTTGCGACTCGCAGGTGCGCACATTACACCTAATCATCGTCAACAGCAATACGTCAGCCATGTGAAATGGTTGCGTACGCGACGAGTTGTGGACGAGCAACGTATTATAGAATCAACGTCTAGGTATTACAACAGTTCAGGCATGGAAACTGAGGCACAAATCGCTCACTTCCCTCGAGATGCCTTTTCAACTCACCGTTCTGCTGCGCCTCATCTCACTACGCATCCTTCATCCGGCTGATTTGGGTATTGCGTTCTTCGTCCGCTGCGACCCAAGATTTCCTTGCATCTCCTTTTCACATATACTACTCACTAGTAGTAGGCTGCAAAGTGCATTACGGAACGAAAATTACTAAACAGGAGAAAGGGGGACATGGTGTAATACCTTACTGCTCTATAAAAACATTCAAGGCGCCTACGCCTTGTGAACAACACGCCTTCACGGACAGCTGGCTGTCGTGCAAAGATGGAGTGGCATCGGCATGACACAGGCTCCTTGCAGTTTTCACTGCTCCTCATCATAAAGATCCATTCTCCGCAACTAACAGCATTTAACACACTATAAACAGGCGCTCCGAATAAGAGATGATAGCAGACAAGTCACTGGGGCCGACTGTGAGTTATCTCCTGTATCATCTCTAAACAATCTATGGTGGGCCACGTTGACTCCAACGTGAAAAACGAGAAGGACCGGCGGCATCCAGTTTTTAGTCAGTGACTTCATTTCCTGCTGCCAAGTCAGCTTTCGCACACCAAGGGCTTTGCGCCACCCTTTATCTGGCAAACAAAATAAGGCCTACCTCGGCAAACGGTGAACGAGCACGAAATCCTGTGCTATGTTGCAAGCGTAGTGTGTGACTGACTTGAGGATCGTGCTACTGTGCCATCGCGTTGTAACGAGATGACGCATCCAAAAACGCAGACATCCCCAAGTAGCAAGGATGAGGAATTTGCTGTTTCCGTGTTACGTCAGTCACACACTACCCTTGCAACATAGCACAGGATTTCGCGACACTTATCAGTGTCTCCTGTGCATAACGCAGGTTGTTGCCATCGGATACCAAAGTCCGTAACTTGCCTCGTCCAGTTGGTCGTGGACAGTTATGTCGCACCAACGCATGCGAATTCCATATGGCGACCGGGGAGCACATGCACGGCCGAATGGACGTACTTAGTATGAGGCGATGATAGAGCAATAGGACGAGTTGACACCTGGCCTGACCACTGAAATATGCAGGGCTGCTCGCAATGAGCATGGGGTGATCGTTGGCCAGGCAACTGGACGCGGCCGATTGTGCATTGTTTAACAAAAATCACTTATAATGAATGTGGAAGGTCAGATAGGATCCGTAAAGTACGGGAACTGTTTCTCATCATATGAATGAAAACACTGCGCAAGCGATACTTGTGATTCCCTACCTGCATGAGAACAAAGCACAGGATTGCGGTGCCTATAGTCAGTGTGAACTGAACCCATATCAGTACGGGGTGCGATAAAGTGGTACAAGGCAAGAATGAAACATGAGGTAGTCAAGAGATGCAGTTGAAACGCTGCTTCCAAACACTTGGTGGTTAGCATCCATTGTCAGCGGGAAATCCAGGTGGGGAACAATTGAGGAACACAGAAACCTGACAAGGTTACAAATGCTGGAGCCACTAACAGGCGATGTTGCAAACCCATGGGCGAAAGACACGGTCTCCCTTTACAAGGTGTATACTGACCGCAGGACATGTAAGCGCTTGACCCAGATCCAACATGAGTGTTGAAATGGCATGATACTGTGTAAAGTAACGGTACACTACATTGTGCTCCCCATTATAGGTGTCCGCGTACATGACTGCGATCACGCAGTATTTGGTATACCATTATGAGGTCTCCCCGTGGCGTCCACTGAGCAATCAGAGTCTCTGCAGTTGTTCGGATGCGGGAGGTGCCGCAAGCCCTTAGCAATCTTCGTTGCCCGGCATCGTTTGAGCGCAGCGAGGTCGCGCTTTAACCAGCGTTGCCAATCCTGGGTAGCTTATTCGACATAGAATGTACGTAGGCGTTCAGCACCCGGGAGAAGATGGAGGAATCTACACTGTCGAGTACCCTTCACAAGAGATTAACATACTGGTTGCCTCTTGTTATATCAAAATCTAACTGTCTGGAACAACAGCGAATAGTTAAAATGAGATGATAGGTTTCTTATTCTCGGAATATCTAATCAATTAGGCATAACATGGTTTTCTACAGGCGTGGTTCGATGCGAGTTTGCAAATGAACGTTCGTAAACACACAACAATGACTGCTGATGCTGACAATTGCGTTGTAAATATATATCTCGATATGCGTAAACCATTTCACCAAGTTCCAATCGTTAGATTGCGGATCGTGTTACAATTGGTTGACATCCTGTGATCGAACTTATCTGCACTATGAATTGGGAGTCAGCATTCTGAACCGGCAACCCGACTATGGCTGCCGGTGAATTTGTCAACAACATTGCTGCATGTACTGATGTACTGGCACCTGTGGTAAGGAGCCGCACCTATAGGTAATGCGACAAACATACCCAACTGAAAAAGGCCGAAGGCAAACTGAAGAAACTTAGGGCATCTTATCACAGGAGCAACATTTTCGATACGCAACCATATATACATTAAGCCGAATTAAGGTATGGGACCTGTTTTCCAGCTTATGAATGAAAACACTGCGTAAGAGATAGCTGTGATTAGCTACCTGCATTAGAACAATGTGCGCAATCACGGCTGATGCCTACGCCAACGCTTCGTGATCAAACGAATTTAATTTAACAATTCAAGAACATAGGTGGGAAATGGTATGGAGTCTCTTCGTTAGCTAATTACGCTGAACGATCCAATAAGGTTTTGGCACGCGGAGCAATCGAGTATGTGGGGGGCAACCGAACTGGTAGGTAGCTTGGGACCCTTTGCAACCATGTTAGGGATGTGCTCTGCGATTCTCTCTGACAGCCTATTGTCAGTACGCCCACTGTACTTGCGGTAGCATGTATTCTATCCACAAAACTGTCTTTAACGCTGTAGTCTGCTAGTTCCCTTAGGATAGGTTGGATTACATTGGTCAGGCATTTGGCCAACTTCTGATACGGTGCGCCTACCATTGAAACAATCGGTGGTAAGGGGATATCTTCGTTGTGGATTTTCGGCAGTCCTTACAAATAAGGAAGCCGAGATGCTCGAGTGACCGGCTGTGTCAAAGTTTTGCGTGATTCCATCCCACCGTCGTTAGGGTCTTTAGTTCACGAACGTTTGATTTCATAACATGTTCGGTTTTATCGTTATCTGTCACATCAAAAACGAATCGACTAGTCTGCGAGAAATTTTTGCATTTTCTGGATGTAGCCCTGTTTCTGCATTATGACGACACCTAATCCCATATCTTGTCTCAGTATTACAACCTTTTCATTGCGTAGCTGTTACGTTAAGGACTCGCAATGATCCTTCGTCATGGTACGTCACTTCTCGGTGTCACTAGCGCATGACTGTTTGGTAAGTTCTACCCTCGTAGTTGTAAGGCAACCGCTTGTCTCCACATTGGTCTGTGTTCAACTGGGAAGATGTTCGTTCAAATGTGCAAACTGAGCCTCGACTGCTATTCTACCACATGGATTTGATGGAATAGATAAACTGAACCGTAGGGACAAGTTTCAAGTTGGGGGTGACCTACGGGAGAACGAATATCCCGAGCTATTTATAACACGACGCGCGCACGCAAAACGCCAGGAGAAACCATCAACTGACGTTCCTAAGAAAAAGAGAGCATTAGCCAGCGCACGAATTCAGTCGATAAATCTTTGCATGATACATATATTTACAGATTATCAGTGTAATGCTCAGATTTGTCAGCCAAGTTGATGTTCGAAGTGCCCGCCGGCGTTTTGCGTACAGCGCAGCATTCGCCTGATGGTGTTTGCTGGCACTTTCTCCAGAGTACCAACTGTGATCCCGCGACATTCTTGCAAAATGCTCCGCTTCAATTCCTCAAGAGAGTTTGGCTTCGTTTTGTAAACACGCTGTTTCAAGTAACCCCAGAGGAAGAAATCCAAAGGGTTCAAATCTGTTGACCGAGCAGGCCACTCTATAGGTCCTCCCCGCCCGACCCAACGGCAAGAGAACGTCTGCTTGAGAAAATCCCGCACCGTTTGTGCATAGTGTGCAGGTGCGCCATCTTGTTGCAATCAAACGGTACTTAATAACCCAGCGGCTTCCAGTTCCGGAATGGCACAATTTTCCAGTAATTCCTTGTACGAGGATGCTAGAAAGCGCAAGGCATTAGTACTGCGAAACAACAACCTACCGTTTACATTACCGAAAAAACAAAATGGTCGCACGATTCTTTGGCCAGTTAACCCAGCCCATACCATGAGGTTTGCGCCATGTTGTATATGTGAAGCGCTGCATCGACGTGGATTACACGTTGCCCAAAATCGTTGCTTCTCCGCAACGTGCAAAGGGAAAGCAGCCTCATCGGTAAAAAGAATTGAATGGATGTCCATGACACTCAAAAACCTGCGGCAAAAATGAAGCCGCTTCTCCGAATCACATGGGTTTAAAACCTGCACTTGACGGGCGCTATACTTCCGGAATTACCTTTCCTTCAAAGCCCTATGGACAGCATATCTGGTGGTGTCGCAATGCTGGGCGAGTTTACGAATGCTTAGATCGCAGCTTCTGGACACCTCACAAATAACCACACAAGCAGAAAAGTTATCCGTGGTGATGCGAGGCCGCCCTGTCTTTTTGGCGACGCACACGCTCCCAGTTTTCTCAAATATTCTCACCAGCCTACGAACATACCGTCCGTTGATGGGCCACTTTGCACTGTGGATAGTGGCAACTACTTTGCCACTCGAGGGGGTAGTAACATTATCACTCTTACTGAGGGCAGCATAGGCGCGTGAAAGCCAAACGATCGGTAAAGAGCACACCAGCTTTCGATGCAAACTAATATGCGCTTGGGACCTTGAGGTGAATGTATTGAAAGTGACCACTATGAAACAAATAAGAGGAGCACTGGGAAGAACGTTTGCACAAGTGTGACACATGGGGCAAATGTGTTGTTGATCATACAGAGTAACATTAAAATATTCAACCCACAGCTTATCCGGATAATTTGTCATTCATATTTGGTATCCAACATACGACGGTAATAAAAATGCGGCCCCGTGTCACGTGCCGCCCTGGACGGACCGCCTACGCGCCCCCATACTGCGTCTCTGCAAAGGAAACAACTAAACGTATTCAAAGCGGATTAGTCATCTCTTCGTCTACATAATGCAACCCCCCGTCATTAAGAACGATCACGTGTTGGGAGTACAGCAACGACACCATAGCTCAATCATCGATAGTTGCTCATCCAAACTCAAACCGAGTGCACTGAAAACCAAAGCGCTTACACCGGAGCTGCATCACCAGGTTAACAACGATGTAGATGACGTTCCTGATGAAAAGCGCTTGGTTGAATGTGCCAGTAAAGCATGTGAAATTTTAGTCGATAGCAATTAAGGACGTAAGGTAACCGCTCATTTTCCCGAGAACAACACTGGAACTAAGTTTCGACGGATCGCTCGCCTAATGTAATATGTGTCATGGCGAGAGTACCCAGGGCTTCCCTATCCGGGCGTACATTGGGTCGTCAAAGACCCAGGGGATTGAAAGGCGAAACAGATACTTGGTAGGCGGCTGGACCGTTTCATATCAACCACCTACTAGGAGTCCGAGGTGGATGGAGAGTGCGCCTGATTTATATCTCGTGATTAGCTGCACGGTGTAGTCACAGCTGGCGATGGGGGACGGAGCCTGAGGTGTGTGGATGGATGACGATAACACGCACGAGATATGATTGCAACAGATGTCCGGCTATAACCGCATCATTTACCCACGTAGAATTGGGATGGAGCGAAATAGCAACTTCCACTTGCAAATGGCAAATGCCATATGAACGCACGGATTGGTTTGCGTCATGCGGAGCCACTCATCCCTGTGCAGATGTTACAACCCGACGAGTAAATGTGATTCGCCGAAGCGAGTACATTTTATTTGCAGCTTCAAAGCATCCTCTCACCGCAACCCTGTGGTGTGTTCGAATACAGTCCACAACTGACGAATACCCATCGGGAAATATTTCCCTAGAGAGCGTGATAAACGTTAGTTCTGCTTGTCCTACATGCTCTGCGTTTCCGCATACAGCGTCCAGCCGCCTGCGTTGGTGTAACGGGTTAAGCAATCCGGCAAACGGCCACACACACTACCCATGTACGTCAAGTCTGCATAGTTCAATTTTCGTATTTATTATGCCCTTATCAAAGTCCTTATCCACTGGCTCTCCAAATACAATCAACGACAGGCGGTAGAACATAATTGCTTGTTACACAACCGTGTTAGAGTGGCATCTGTTTGTCAAGCTCCCACATGATTGTTCTACAACGCGGCAACTAAAATGGGTATGCGACGCGACCACACGCACCAACTTACCGGAAATCCACGATGTTCCCCCGATTAGAGAACTGGCTATTTCTAGCAGAGTATAAAGTGCACTCTGACCCGTCATCATAATAATGTAAGAACAACACTCGCTTAGAACAGGTAGTTTACTGCCAACAGAATGTTTTACAGATCGGCCAAATGAACAACACGTCCATAATTCTTACTGACATGTTGAACCATTTGTTGGCAGTGCTGCTGCGTCACTAAGGCCCGTGCTTCAGACACCGCGTGCTCCAAAAAGCGAATCCGCCACTCGCTTTTATTCATAATGCCTTCAGGATCCCCCAGGAGCATCTCGGAGTACCGTCCCCTCATTGCCTGTTTTACATGAGCCTTTATTATGCTCCAGATGCCCTCGATGGGATTGAGAGCTGGTGAGTATGGCGCAAGGCGTAGAAGTCTCCCAGAGCGGTACGGTTCCTCCAGAAAAACGTGCTCCAGGTGCGTGTGACAGGGCGCGTTGTCACAAATCAAAAGACACCTTTCCACAAACCCTGCTCCGTTGGTATCAAGCACTTGTCGCAGCCACTGAGCGCACCTTTGCTTGTTGTAACTTCTCTCAGAACCGAACACGCTATCAAGCCGTTGTTTGTCATGGCGCCGACAAGATGAACATTCGGTCCCCGGCTGTTCGCCACTGTACACTGCGCTCGACTACCACGTCGTGAGCGGCCACGAGTGCGGGAGCAAAATAAGTTGAAGTTGGTCTCATCAATCCACACCGGTTGCCTTCCTTCCACCTCGTAATCCATGAGCTGCAAAACGAATGACCTGCGTCGTTTTTTGTTCTCCAGCGTGTTCATGGACTCCGGAATGGTGTGCAATTTCTTCATTGTTATAAGTCTACCATCCAAGTATCGTGAGACAGTGCTGGTACTTACTGTAAGTTCGAACTCCGCCTTCAACCGCAAACGAAGGAGTTCAAGGGTAACGGTAGGCTCTGCAGAAACCCACTCCACCAGAGAGTCGACGTGGCTTTCTCCCAGTGCTCTGCGACGGACTCCCCCGTGCTGCCCCACCGGTTCCGTCGATTCGTACGCCCGTATCCAGTTGCGGCAAGTTTTCACGTTCACCTTCAGTATGCAAGCGACCTGCTTCCAATCGTCCCCTTCCTCGTACGCTTTCAGTACGACGTTCTTCACCTCCCTCGAGTGCCGAACATACGAGCCAACCATTGCGTTTAGGTGAACTGCACATTCAAAAGCATACGGCAAACTTATTTGGCTGTGGCTCGTTATACCAAACCAATCGTCATTCAAATCCCTACTCTCGTTCTAATTGGTGGGAATCGCTTCCTAGGACAGAGAAACAAAGGCCAACCTGGTGCATCGGCCAGCGACACTGTCCCTGGTAGGAGCTGAAGCGTCCCACCTGCACCCCTATGACTTAGTGCGTCTGAGGTCCAATTGGCTGAAGGCGATGGGCTATACACGCACACCTGCACAAGTGAGTGGGGTACGCACGGAACAAATTAATTGTGTAGCCTCATGTTGAATGCCCGCTCAGATTATTTCTGTTGCCCAAGAGGACAACTTGGCCGGGAAATGGTGTGGTATTGGTTAGTTGGCAATTTAGAGCGCTCTACCTCACCCCCGAAGGAGTGACCCTTCTTCCCGCACTAACAGAGTAGAGGGACCAGACTTTTGGGACATATGATATTTATAATGATCCGCGAAACTGTGTCTGTAGCGACACAAACCATTATATGCAAAAGTAACCATGCTTTTGCGTGGGCGATATGCATTGGTGGAATATTGTGGCATGCGACTTATTTAATTGCGTTTTGATGGACGGTTGAGGTGAAAGCCGTCTGGATGTGTTGAATGAGGTTGGGCCCCTCTTGAAATCGCTCATCGAAGGATTTTTCCCATGTGAATATAGTGATTATGGTATTTAGAACAAGGTGACTGGAGAGTTTGCCACTAAATATTGCCAAATGGTCACATGACCTAAGTGTCATTATTTAATCCACAGATTGCTATATCTGACCAGAGGGAAATTTGAGCGCATGTTTGTTCTAGCCTTTGGTATATTCAGTACACAACGTTTATTGCGAAGCTTTTGGATTGAGCTACGTTGAGTTCGAGTGTACGCAGGTCCTAATAGGTTTTCTTGTGGAACGGGTCGAAAAACAGCAAAGTGTAATGCTTCAAGGGTCAAATCCAAAGTGGTTCCAATTAAAGTTTTTAGCAATTCCCTCGATAATTCAAAGCAGATGTTTAGTAAACGACTTATATAGGAGTTTCAGAGCAATTTTACCGCTTTATATGCGTCATTCACACTAATCCATTAGGCATACCGATTTGATGAGATGGTAGCGGAATCACTGTAGCCTAATCCAATGCGGATGAGATGAGAGCCATTGCAATGGGTAGAGAAACATCAAATAGATAACATTTTGCGCTCTTTCTGATAACCTTGACCTCTACCTTTATTTAAATGTCACAGTCCCTCTGACCAAGCACTGTTTTAGCTTTACTTTTCCTACTGACTGAATACACGATGTCCGACTGGTTCTGAGCGTTCCTTTCTTTGTTATTCCTTTGTAGTCTCATGTTCGGAAAGAAATAGTGGAACTGGAAATGCGCGCTCGAGCTATCAGATCAATGCTTGGTTCCAGACGCAATTCGTGACTCCAGTGGCACCGAAGAACCCCATCATCACCCGCTTTATTTTACCTTTGATGTGCTGCTGAGGAGCGTCACCTTGTTCAGCAGAGAAGCTTGTACATAAAATAACCAGTCAAGTAGAACAATTCTTGAGTCCTTAAGGCTTGCGCTGCGAATGAACACAGATCCGTTTTACGTACATCTTACTGCATGTGTGCTTTTGAAGGGGGTACGAGTCCGAATCTCGGTCGGTTGGGATGGTTCGGGACAAGAGTCTGAGCTGATTCACCGGTAACTGTGGTGCAGGAATGTGCAAGTGTTTCTCACAACGCAACCAGCATGACTTAATCTCAAAGAAGCAGAATGCAGTTTATCAGTGAGAGAAATCAATCGGAATTGATTACGATCAAGGTAGAAGAGTGCATTAGTTTCTGAAGTCTCCACGAGGGCTGTAAAGCCGAATTATATCAGATCTATCTGGAAATGCAAGCTTTGTGCAATTGACATAATTTTCCAAAATTGTATCCAAGGAGCGGTTCTGTTTGCTTTTCTTTTCCCAGCTCAACACTTTAAAGTTCTCGTCCATGGCTACGATGTGATAGGTCAAACCGGAGAAAAAGTGCATATTTTTTGAAATTAATACGTTGTATTTTAACCAAAGCGTACATTAGACGTTATGCTAAAGCATCACCTTGTTGGCACTGTAAATAACTTGGCGGATCTGAAAGGACGAAGTTTTGGACTCGATTTGCTTAGAAGCGAGGTGATCACCATTTTCCCACTTCAGCTTTCACGTGAACACGAAAGCCGCGAGTTTGGTACGCTCACGTAAAACAGCTAACCGTTAGATCCAAGCGAAGTGTGGAGGCCAGCTATGTGTGTGAAGCAATGACCTTGATTGTTGAATATGTCGATGCACATGTGTCAATGCTGTTGAATTCTACCTCATCGGTCTATGTGTGGCAGTATTGTGTGGCCAGTTCGACGGTGGAACTTGGCTACTCAACCTTTGAGTGCACATAACTCTTCGATCTGAGTCATGGGAAGCACAGTAACGTTAGGGTAGATACTTTTTACTTTCGATGCATTTTTCGCTACCAAAATTAAATGCTGCAATACCTGTTCTCAAGCGTGTCCATTGTATATCTAGCTGTTAGTCGCTTGTTACTTAGGCTGCTGTAGACCTTTGGGTATTCGAATTTTTCTCCAGCTCTTTGGCACTATTTCACACAGATGCACACGGCAGAAGTATTTCGATTGGCGACTTATTTATTACATTTCTCATAATTAAAGAGGATTAGTCTAAAATTTTGCTTTGAAGTTAAGACTCATGTCGTAGTCGAAGATTGTTATTCTAAATCCGAAGCGTAGTGTGTTTAGTTTGTATCACACATCAACGGTCATTACATGTACGGTTGTTTTAGTTGCAAACGAGAGATTTCTCAAAGAGCTGTTTACTTACTCTACTGCAATTTGGTCAATGTTTCTCGGGGACGAATTTGAATCTTGTCCAGATATGTTTTGACCTAACAGATCTCACTATCGACCATGATAATCGGGTCTTCATATTCGTTTTCTCGGTGAAGTTGAGGAAGCTCTGGTACTACAGCCTTGAATGCAAATTAAAACGGTGGTCATCAATGATGTAAGCGATGGTTGAGCCTATTTCTCTCAAGGCATCATGAAAAGGCTTTAAAAACCTTTTTCTACTCATTTTAGGGCATTCATATAGTCAATGGATTTAGGAATCCTAGAACATTTTACTTACTGGGGTAGCGGGTCTTTTAACAAATACTTTCTCTCGATCATTAGTGGTGCTGAATGCCCAAGTTACTTAATTATCAGAAGCCAAATAGCACCTGAGAGACGCAGTTGATACAAGCCGAACAGATAATGACGATCGAATATCACAACTGTGTTCCAAACGCAGCCTTTATGTTAGCGAAGCTGCTCTGCACATATCTTCCACCTGGCGCATGGTGTACTCCACGAGTATCGTACCTAACTCGAACACATATTTATCAGCTACAAATACCGCATCTCAGTTCAGCTTTTTTGGGTACTTACCGCGAGTACAATCGTACGCTAGTCCACGGTCGCATTGCATTTACTTTTTTGGCTTTGATGAAGCGCCCAACCTCCCCTATTTCTCACTCCTCGTCTGGAATCACGGTCCGCAATTGAGCAGCGTCACGACGAACTGACCCACCACCGGCTATCAAACATGACCCTATTGCATCGGCTTAACATCGAATACGTCGCGATGAATATCTTTGAGCTATCTTGTCAACCCAACTTGAGACTTTCAATGGAACATGTTTCGAAAGCCACGTAGTTTTCCCTTTGCGCGTGAGTTACGCAACACTGCTGCTTTGTTTTGCAGTCTAATTTATTCATCTTTCCTGGTGCCACCCGATCCTCTAGCTTTTTCCTAATGTTTCTGTCAGGTTTGCTTTTTATATGCGATTCCGTTGGAGCTGCTCCTGTCCTCTGCTATCTCCAAATCCCAGCACAAATCAGAAGTCAATGTTGCGTAGCTAAAAGCATAATGGAGGAGCAGCTACCGAAATCAGTTACAACTTGTCTGAAACTCAACGAATATTTACATCTCAAACCTGGAGTTCTGTTTTTCAGAGCAGCTAAGTCAGCCGCTCTGATTGGTGGTTTACTTCCACTATCCAACAAAAGGTAGGTATGCAAGTCACGTCATGAAGTGGATGTTTTTGGAACAACTTAGTGTTTCGGCTCTACACCATTATCTCAACTAGGCGGATTTCCTCTCATGAAATGGTGGCTTCATTGTAACATACTAGTCGTGGGTTAATTTGCAGTTTTTAGTTCGACGTTCTCCATTTATCGGCTTATGGCCTGTGTTGTAATGATTTTGGACGTGCCTGTGGACCATCAGTTGCATTTTTCGCCTGACTGTAACCCTCCCTGTTCAGCTTCGGTAAGTCGCAATGATCCACAATAAAGTCAAAGGGCAGCTCGACTGGCTTCCTCGTTTCTGGTTAGGAGCAGCTAATTTACATGGCGGACTCAGGTGTGCTATCCAATTTACACATCACAGGTGACATGTGCAAGTTTGTATTTGATCTTATCTGTAATTTGGGGGCTTGGGTGCGTGAAGTTTTACTCCGTGTCAACGATTGAATCCTCGTTCCACTTTTCGGTTCCTTTCACCTTGTGATGCTTCTGGAGCCGGCCAAATGATATCCAATGGTAGCATGCAGGATCTCCTGATCATGATCGTTTCTGCCGGAGAAACTGTTTAATGCTTGCCGGTTTGCTGTGACCGATACAGGAAAAAGAATCTGTGGGTCATTTCACCTATTCACTTCTCACTATTTTAGTTGAGGGAAGCTATCTTGAAAGTTTTCACCAAACTCTGCTTGGGCAGCGATTGTGGGTGAAACGGTCTTAAGCGAATGTGCTGGTCGGTGCATCGCTTGCAAAACTCCATTCAAGTCACCAAATGGAAGTGCATGCCGTTGTCCGTCACATTTGGTGGTGAACAGCCAAACATGATGATTTGTCGCAGTCTTGCTTTACTAGCAGTGTTTGTTCCGCTCTCCATGAGAAACACTTCGGGCCATTTGCTGTAAGAGTCGACCACAATGCGGGAGCTTTTTCCGTTGACCTCTCTTACGAACTCGACATGAATATGGGATCATAGTTTCATGGGTTTGTGCCGTGAATGGAGTTCCGCTTTTGTGGTGCTTTAGAGCGTTAGCTTACTTTTGGCAACGTTTAACCAGGGCTTTAGATGAAACGGCAGTACATATCTGATAGCAAGCACCTTCATTCGGTTCATCCCAAGATGTCCCGCGTGGATTTGCCGAAGTGCGCTCTCGTAAAGCGCCTTCGGGTTAACATCTCTTTCCAAGAATAGTGTGCTGTTATCAACAATGGAGCGTGAATGCCTCTTCTGATAATACTTCTTCAACTCAGAAATAAATGAATGATGTTTCTCGCTTAAGCGAGACAATCCAGCTCAGTGGTACAGCGAGATAACCGAACGTTTTTAGTGCTGTTTACAAACGAACTTAGACTAAAATGAAGTTGAGTCTATCAGAAAGATTGATAAATTGAGATCACTAAAAAATGTTCAAATTTTCAAACAAAGTAATACGGTCATCCGTGGAACCGTTTCCTGAGGACCATTGCAGGGTATTCCTTCCAAAGGTTTCACTCGCACCTCCATATCTCATATGATCGTGTGCCTGTGTGGCCTGATAGCATGTGTGTATTCATTAATTATGGACGACCATGGCATCCAGCCCGTACTAGTATTCGGTTCACTTCGAGCTTGGTACATTTTGCATCCTTTGTCGCCAGTGGACCAGTGGCAATACGCCTTGCATAGGTATAACTATTAACTTGGTAGCGTCAGTCTATAACTTCGAGAGATCAGCCCAGTCACGGTCAACAAGTAAAGAAGGAAGAATCTAAACATGAGGAAGTAAAAAATAACAGGCAAGTCAGCTCTCGGCGATGAAACATTCATCACACGTGGAATATTATCACATCCGACAATGCATCTCAGAACAAGTTCCGCCAAAAGGACACAAATCCCTGCGTGAACATTTATGGCCAAATCCTAATTCTCCAGACCATTGGTTTAGATGGAGTTACCTGCCAAAGATGAAGAAGATAATGATATTTAAATGAATTGCAAATGAGGTGTGGTATCGGCAGTGTCAGTAAAAAACCTAAATGTATGAAAAAAGCATGAGGTTTGATAGACGTAATTAATTCTCACTTTAAGTTTAACTAGAGAAAGGGTGCTCATGCAGTTATCAGTTGATCAGTGTCAGTATTAGTGAAGTGCGCCTGTCGTTCACCTAACTCGGTTTTGGTTGTGATCATTTTTAGTACGCATTATTTGCAATTTGGCCTTTTTCAGTAGACCTCTTCTGTTAAGTTTATTCTGTTGTATGCTTGGTTCACCCAGCCGCGTCAAGAGAAAGAACTCGCGCCGGCTCTGCACACAAACGCTCTATTTCCAACTGAGGCAAAGTACAATTAGCTGGGCGTTTAAAAACTCACTCGTCCGCTTGATTGACCACACTGAAACAGGCGATTCCCTTCGCCCTAGCTTTCAGTCACCATCTCCTTTCCTTTTACTTTTTTAATTTGTTGTTGCAATTAGTCCCGTACGGTTTTCCGCTGCGGGTACGCTTGTTGTCTCGGCCTGAATTTTCAGGTACTTTTGTTGCTGCTGCCGATCCTCGCTTTACAGAGTCCGTCCATTACGTGCTCTCCTAATTTGCACCCGATTCCGTCTAATGATATTACTCACTATCCTGACTTCGTAGCTTCTTTCACCCATACGACCCTCAATCACTCTCCTCCGCCAACGTTCTCCCGAATCTGGTATTGGTTGCACCCATACTTCTTCTCCTGCAGCTAAGAGTGGGAGGCATCTCGATCCACAATCATAGTACTTCTTTTGTTTTAGCATTCTCTTCCGTAGCCGGTTGTGCTCTGTAGCGTCTGGTCCTATCTCGGGCTGTAGCAGCATTGTAGCGGCCGGTAGCAGCGTTCTAGTTCTGCGACTGAATAGTCACTGCACCTACTTACTCTGATCTCGGTAGATGGCGTGTTTCTTAGCTCCAACAGCATTATGTAGGGATCCTCCTTGGTCTCTTTGGCTTTACTAAGTACTTTATTCACCTCCTTCACCGCTAACTCAGCCTTCCCATTTGATTGGCTGTGGAACGAGCGGATGAGCGGATGCCGAAAATCCCACATCTTACTAAAAGCGCGGAATTCTGCACTACTGAATTTCGGCCCCTTATCAGAAATCACCACCTCGGGGATTCCATGTGGAGCAAATTGATACGGCCACTTGTTCGCTATGGCTTGCGCGCAGGTTGACGTTAGGGCAACAGTCTCGAAGTAGTC